TTGATAACCATCTTCCACTGATTTCTTCTTGTATATTTCTATAAACCTTGGCCTGTGTATATGTATCATAGAAATGTTAATTAATAACTCTCTCTAAAAAATAATAATCCTTCTCTAAATCTACGAAACCGTTATATTATGATCCTAGATAGTGATACCACTAAAACTATAGAGACACGCATTATGAACTCTCGCATATTATAGCTAGAGATTATGTTGATTAGCAACAAACTAAGAGAAAATTTAACATATAAATACACAAACAAAATATGAAAAGAGAAAGAAAAGAGATTATTACATTGGTGCAAGGGAGATCAAAGACGAAATAACAGTCCCTGCATCAAAGCCAGAGAAAGATGTCAGTAATTTAGCGATGGGGCAATGCAAATTAAATATATATTTCTCTCTTTATTTTACACAGGTTACGTATATATAATATATGTAAACATCGATCATTAACGACGTTTACATAGAGATTTAGGACTGGGTGAAAAAAAAAACATAAAATAGGCTGATCGAATTCATTATTCTAAATCCAGACAAAATTTTATATATTATAACCCGATTGGTATATAATTCTTATACCAAACTAAATCCAAATAGAACAAATTTTGTCCAGCCGAATGAAATAGAATTAACTAGAATTTATTATAACGATGCTTTGAAGAAAGATCCCGAATTTCTAGACCGAAAGAGATCACTAGTGTGTGTGTATACGAACGGAAGCACGACTACTACGACAATTACCATATACATAAGCATATAGATTGTAAAAGAGAGAGAAAGAGATCGTACCAATAATTCCGAGGATCATATGAATGTCTTTAGCGTTAGTCATTTGTGAATAAGAATAGCCAAAAAAATCTTCATCCAGCGAGAGAGCAGTTTGGGTTTCTCCGTGTATGGGTATGTAATATATAAGTGTTTTGAGTAAAATTATACACATAGCTCATGTCTAAACCACAATTTAGTCGGTTCCTTGTGGAAAACGGAATTTCTATAAATCCTTGTAGGATTCGGAATTATTACTACTATATGTTTTTAGAAAATGCATTATATTATAAACAGGTGACGAATTGTGACGAATTATAACATGGAGACATTATTTAAAAAAAAGCAATGAACTACAACATGTATTAGGAATTATTTGAAAGAAGAAAAACAATTCTAACCTTATCTCACGAAGAAAAATAGTTATTTTTTAAATGTATACTATTAATAGATAACTAGATGATTTCTCGCACCATGTGCGGATTCAAATATGTTTATACGAATAAAATTATAATTTGCTATTATCAATCTGTGATATTGATGTGGAGATATGTGTTATATAATGATTGTGTGTAGATGTAAATGTATTTTGTAAAAATAAAAATTNTGATTCATTATNGNAAATTTNTNATTAGCAATTANCTTTTTAANTAGGTTCATGTTCCACATTATGACATACCAAGAGGAAGATTTGATGGTAAGAGATCGAACATAGACATAGAAAAATTTCTTCCACATACCATTTTTCAGTGTTTCTCAAACTCATTCAAATTTTTGGCCAACATGCGTAAAGAAAAGGAAAATT